AAAAGTGGGCCCACGTGTCAATCATAGAAGTAAAGTAATTAATCACATGAGATCGTAATTAGCAGTGAGAAATGTAAACAATGACGTCCAAGATAGAAAGAAGCACTAACCTCGCTAGCATCATAGATCTTATAGTTGACAGCAATGTCACACTTTTCACGAGTACCAAATCCAAGTGTGGCGAGACTAAGCGGGATGCCATTCGGATAGGCAATCGTCACATCGAGCACATACCGGATTGGTGGACGAGTTTCTGGAATCAGAGCAGTCATGAAAAGAATCAGCTCAGACTGGAACTACAGTCTTGTCGCTACCGATGAAGGGGCGTGTTCGCGCGGCTGCGTTTGGTACACTTCCAAATACATTTCCACCGGTTGTTAAGGCACAGAAATGACAACAACTGTGAAAAAGGGCTGACATGATACTGCCTTTTTGTTTGCCGGCAAAAGAAAAAAAAAGTTTGGGCCTCGCCCAGCGTCTTTTCTTTTTTTTTTTCCGCCGCCGCATCACGCCCCATAATCCTCAGGCGACGGAAGACCATACGAAACACGACTCGAAAATGAATCCAAATCAAAATTAATTTTGGTCAGTGTTAGGAAATACTTTCATAACGGCACATTGATCACTGGACCGAAGAATTTAAAAATCGCTAAAAAATATTTGGACTGCTTAGGACAAGCGTCTGAGACACATCAGCAATGACCTGATAGGTGGAACCTATTCCTTATATAAGAAGTCCCCGCCCGCAATCTCGGACGCTCTCACTTTCGAGTGAAGAGAGCACTGTCGTCGTGAACCGCAGGCCACTCAAGAAGCCTGCCCCACCCATTCAAGGACCAGATGAGCCAACGATACTATAATGTATCTCATCCATCTATCCATAAACATAGCAATGCGTTCATTCTGCAAGAGATGGTCCTGTTACTTCTCTTATCTTCCGACTTAATTTTCCGTTCTCTCACCCTTCGTCTCTCATCTTTCCCCGTGCACTTTGAGACCTAGAGTTGGACGAGTATTCCTTTTTTAGAACTATCGTTCAACTTTGGGTCTCATTTAGGCGTTCTTTCGACGGCCTTGTCCACTCTTTTTTCAGTTGTGCGTCTATAGGCTATTGGACCTACGAAGCGCGATCGCGAATTCTGAACGCGGTCCAAGTGGTGTTACCACTGAGTTGCATACGTCCAATATTGAATTGTAACGCATATTTATTCGATGTTTGTCATGGGCTCTCTCTTCCCTTGCCTCTGGTCTCTAGCCTGTGTCTCCGGCTATCTGGCTGTCAAAAGACTCGTTCAAAAATAAGGCAAAATATTGTATTATTTAGAGCGCCTTCGACTCTTTTACACTTGAGAGTCTAAATCATCTGCCAGTCTATATGTGAACTTTACACCCCAAGCACTGTAATCATGAAGAAAGTATTTTCAACTCTTTTCCAACGACCATCATGCCTAAATTGATAGAGGATCGTTCTGTAACAAAATCTGATGAAAATTTTCCAGTGTTTCCTCCTATCAATTTTGTCTGCCCCAGTTTTTGTGGCCGTGTGGGAAAGTGCACGCTTTTCCAAGGCTCCCACAGGAACACCATAGGGCAACACGATAGAGTAAAAATGTGATACTGTGGACAGTACTCGCTTCAAGTACATATAGCGATTAAACACATGACTCTTACACACCTCGAGCTTCTACAGTCCTCATCATTGCGGAAAACACATGACTCTTACACACCTCGAGCTTCTACAGTCCTCATCATTGCGGACCGGTGGGGCGTGTCAGTGCGGCTGCGTTTGGCGCGGTGCCAAAGTCGTTCTGCACCAGTTGTTGAAGCGGGCAAGTGACATTACTGTATTATATCCTTCGTATTACTCGTTTTCTACCACTTTTTGTCGCATACGCGTTTCAACAAAAAGGCTGAGAACGGCTTCAACAGTGTGCACACTCATACTGGCTGACACGCCCCACCGGTCCGCAATGATGAGGACTGTACATAGATCGCTCATGGTTAATATACGGTACCTCAAAGTGACAATA